ATTACAATGTCGAAATATGGTTGAGGAGTTTTCTTGATCGGTCCGCACTTTAATGAAAGACGAAAGAAAGCACGTGCAGTTCTTTACAATCAGTGAGATAAACCAGTGAAACAAACTGATAGACTGCCTCAACACCGCCAGTAATTCCAAGCATAAACTTGAGCTTGAAACGATGAATTGGAACACGTTACCTGTGTTGTCTGCATAACTGTGCTTATGCCGTCCTAACAAGGCCGATCGCATGCTGAAACTCACCCGTATGAACTCGGGTGACCCACTTGAAAGTCTGCATTTCGCTGTACCACCGAAGAGACCATGCATAATGGTCAAATAATCGACCACTGTCATTAGCAAATTGTTCAAATAGAGTGGCCACGGGCTTTCCAAATAAAGTTAGATTGAAGAAGATATTCAGTAGGTGGGTAGCGTACAAAGGACTCTCGTTCGTGTATACTCCTCTTTTGGCCGTATGCGATAACCATGGACTTGGGTCTTTACCAAGTGCAGCACAATACGGAAGATCGTAAAAAGTGGTGGAACGCAAAATTCCCACCAACCACCGATAAGGTCTCGATCCAGCCAAGTGCACCAAGCGCACGAAAACCAAGGAGTACATCAAATGGACTTTTACGGACTATACAATGGGGAATGGAACAAGTACAACGTGATATGAAGCGATGTGAACTCGGAATACGTCCGGGGATATGCATGAACTTATATGGGAGAGAGTATGAGCATGGTTGATGGACGAATCGGATAGTTGGGTAAATAGAATATACAAGGAACGGTAAAAGGGTAACTCACGTCTGAAGAACATAGTCGACAATCTGTTTAACAACGTCAGATTCCGGGGACCATACGACACACTCCTCAAGGTCACCGTAAATCCGGCGCAATTCAGCCTTACTGCCCCAAAACTCGCGGAAGGTTTTCCCAGCTTCTGTTCCACTAGGTGGTCCTCTGGTTACTTGTACATTCGCCAAATCGCTGTTGAGTTTCAAACCAATGGCTGGAAACTCAACCTAATAACATTGTGCGTAGGATCAAAAAAGAATTGGGTACCTTGTTGCCCATCGGAACGGTGACTTTACTGATGAATACAACACGGTCTCTTAAGGCTTCATTCAAGGTCTCAAGAATCCGGTTCAGTAAATGTTCCCATCGTTTAGGTGTTGTATTGGTATTACCACAGTTCTCTTTCCGAAATCTGACCAAAATTGAAGACTTTATCCACAGCTTACATAATCAGATGATCAAATACTTCAACAGGATCCATTCAACCGAATGCTTCTTGGGACCTGTAGTGAAAGAAGAGGACGGTTAGTTGAATACCTAAGCTTATATCTAACTAAACACGACTATTCCCAAATGAGTTCCCTCCATAGGATCACTCATCATCGAAGCGAATTCCCCAATGAAATCTAACTGCAAAGTGGCACCTTTTGATAGACCACTCCGTAGTCGCAAAACGACCACTGTATATGTCCACCGGACAAACAACTTTCCTAAAGCAAGGTGTCAAATTCATTCATTTATCTCGGTTTCAATTAGGAATGCAACTAAACGCATTATACCCAAGTTGAGTTCTGAGACGGCTGATGCTGTAAAACAAGATTTTCGTTGGCAGTCAGTCTTCTGGAAGGACCGCTGTATGCAATGGATCAGAGGTGTTCGTTTCTGAGCGAGTCAATACGATGATGGAGGCTTCAAGAGTTAACACAGATGTTCTCTCCTGAGACGGGCTTTACACACGGTAAGAGGTCTATCTAGAGACAAATGTACAAGCATATCAAACATGGTAGATAACGTGGCACGTACGAACCTTGGCGGCGAAACAAAAGTTTTCTAGTACCAATGCCGTCAATGTGATGATGAAGCACACCATCTCTCAGAGGGCATTATCGTAACCCATTCACATACCGGTCTTGATGAATTCTGAGGTTGTGACGAGACAATGATGATAAGTTGAGCCGCTCAAAATGCCAATGCCTCGAACTCAGTAACAACGGCGATGATCCATGTTAACGCCTCGTTTTGTATCTGGTCTTCAGTCATCCCACTGTATACATCAAACTCCGACATGATGTATAGGTTTAGACAGCCTTGTCACGACACGTCAACGCCTTGGTTGACATTCCGCTTGCTCTTCCAGAAGTTGCGTTTAAGCAGACAGACTAAGCTCTCTACACTACTGCTGCCACTTCTTTTGTTTCAAAGTTTCGTTTCCGTTCTGTCGTATACCCCCAACTTGATGACTACCTCAGTGAAGATCTTGGGCGCGTCAGTCAGGCACACAGGAATAGCGTACCCTAAAAACCGCACACTCCAATCACCCAACGGTTGGCCGTGACCGCCGACGCATCATCCAATACGGTCGATTTACTTTTGAAACCAAAGAGTACGGTGCTGCCAAAAGGCAACTGCTGTGCGCAGCCGCATCAGGAATGAGACAGTAATGCCTTATTCCCTGCGTTCCCGGGTTAGGCCGACCCTCTGCACCCTAGAAGGTTAGACAAGTCATTGGCTAGGGGAAGAGTCACCAAAGATAACCCTACTGTCCGCTGCCTCGTGGGTCAGGTTTCTGAGACAGAGACCAGGGACAGGGTCCCCGAACAAAACCCTACATATCCCAGTGAGTTAGACATTTGAGCCAAAGGCTCAAGGTGGAGACCTCAATCGAAACCCCTTCCTTGGCCTGGGTAGCTGCGAAATATCATTTGCCGTGCAGGTCGGTGCCCACCGATGTCCCTCCCCAATCCCTTCCCACCACACAAGTAAACGTCGCTGGGTCATTTAACCGTCAGTTATCTGACCCAAGGGCTTCTCACTGACTACTAACAATAAAAAAATAACACCCTTCTAAATCCACGAAATCCTTTCCATAAAGTAGCTTTTAACATCCGTACTCTCGTTTAAATTGGCAAACAGGCAATGCTCGCTGAAATCTTAAACTCCCTCAAATACAAGACCCAAACGCGGTTATGCATTCCAGAACGTCAAGGATGAACTCAGCCCTTTCACGTTTCTCCTTCCGTGTGTCCGGTGACCCAGAAGTTATAACTCATGGAATGTATGGCGTGGGAGTTGCACTCAGCCCCAGAGCTAAACGCGCTTTGCTGGATTGGATCCCAGTGAACAGTCGTCTTTGCGCCGTCCAGTTATCCGGTTCAATCAACCTCAATGCCTCTATGCATAAAAAGCGGCGCCTGTTTGTAGTGTCGACTTATGTCCCAATGGACTGCAGTTCTGATGCTGAGGATACTTTATACAGAGAGCTACCCCGGTTTATTCGTCAATCAAAAAGCACCAATATTTCGATCCTTGCGGGCGATATAAATGCATTTAGATGTACCACCCTTTCGGTGCCTAACTGTAATACAATCAGAAGGAAGCACGGGGGCTCGGATTCTGCCAGGTTGTCCAAGCCTAGACATGGAAAACGAGAGGCAGAGGTCAGGTTCGAACCATGGACCTTCCGGTCGGTGAATTTGCACTCTAACCACTAAGCCACCTCGCCCCTATATGAATGCTTAAGTAGGTTGTCTCAGCCTCATGGAATCACATTCGGGTGGCCGATTCGGAGTCTATGCATGCCACACAGACAACGGAGTCCGACTCCTTCAGTTGTGTGTTGATCATCAGCTGTTTCTGGCAAGTGCGAACTTTCAACGTCAGTGTTCGCGCCGCGTACCCTAGCGGTCACCAACTGCAAATCATCCGTGGACCCATTTGGACCACGTGGCAATCAGCCACCGGTGGAGAGCCACAATTCGAGCCTGCCGTGGTGCCATGGTGCTCGCACGCCTGGCGGTTTGTTTCCCTTCAGGCCATCGTAAGTCAGCAAGAACCATGCCAATCACTATATTCGAATAACTACCACAGTTTAACAGTATCGATGATGTTTGTGTGTTTATTATTATACTTACCCTATGTACTCATATTGAACCTTTGTAGGTACATTTCAGCTCATCGATGCTTGTTGATAGATAAGTAGAATGCTGTTTATCCTCGATAACCCGGACTCTGTCCTAACTCGTTCTCGGAAACGTCTCACAGTAAACCAATGCTGTTGTGGCAGTGACGATTTGGATGAAGCGAGGCAGACGGTCTTCTGGCATACAGAGTACATGTCCTAACCAGCGTAACCAGTGAAGCGTGAGCAATTCACCTATCGTCGGAGAGTTCCTTATTCCTAAAACCATCTAGCGTACTTGAGCATTATTAACCCGATGTTCCCACCGGATACAACCAATGATTTGAATACTTTACAACACTACAATTCGTGGGCGTGAAACCCATGCGGCAGAATTATTTAGGTTATTGAAAATGTTTCGCATTTTTGAGGGATCTGAACCAAGGACAGCAATATCGTCCGCATATTTAATGTTTCCGATGGAACGTCCCGGAAGCATTTCGACCACTGAGGTTTCGGAAGCAGGTAGAGAAATTTCAAGCAGCACATCGGTAACGAAGTTGAAGAGGGAAGGTGAGAGAAGGCAGCCTTGTCTTAGAACACTGGACGTGAGGAACTCAGGCGAAGTCTTGTCGTGTACCCGTAAGCGCCCACAGGAGCTCTCATACAAAGCCCTCATAGGGGATATCACCTTGGGGGGAACCTTGGATCGCTAGGTACTCCCAAAGTCTCTCCCGGTCAAAAGTATATTTCAGATCAAGAAAAACGACCAACGTGGGACGTCTGGAGTAGCGCTGTTCATGAATTTGTCGCAAGGTAAAGATATGGTCGATGCATCCTCGACCAGTCAACATCGTCATCATCATCGACAGCATGACATCAGTGCTCAACACCGACGCTTCACTGCCGTACAACCATGACTTATTTGAAAGCCTTATTGTAAAGAAAAGAATAAAGGTGGATGGGGGAGGGACTTAGTGCTAGCTTAACACAATCATTCTGAGGTGCCTACACCTCCAGACATTCACTCAGGCAATCTGGATAGAAACTGACAACAGGAACGCCACTGACATCGGTTGGCAGCCATATCTTGTAGTGTCTCCAACCAGGCACAGTGAGGATCACGCGGTCCCTATCCTGGAAGGCGAGTAGCACCGACAGCACCCAAGCGTTTCGTGATCTCCTTCTTACTCCTCTGCCAAGTCAAAGGTTGGCCACCTCTCCGTTTACGCCACTCTGAGTTGGGCATGGAAAACAGCACTCTCTTCGGCAAACTATGGTTCGGTATACCTAACACATGTCCCAACCAACGCAGCTTCTGGTGCTGGAAACATTCTTCAATGGAAGTACCCGTTACACAATCGAAAACGCGCTTTCTAACCGCCTCATTACGGATTCGCCGACACCAACCCACACGAGCTATGGTTCTGAGACAACGATTATCGAACACCTGAAGACGTCTCAGTTCCGCTGCTCGAATAGGCCAAATCTCGCAGCCATACAACAAAACAGCCCGTACTGTAGCTTGATACACACGTCCCTTCAGATTCAGGGATAAACAATTTTGACGCCATAGGTGTCTCAAGTTAGCAAACGCGGCCCGAGCCTTGCAGATTCGTGCATTCACCTCATCTGTCACACTACAATCAGAACTATAATCAGAACTAATCAGAACTAATACAACTTCGACCAGGGCGAAACCCAACTTGATTTTCACGAATGTCTCTCCCGATAATCCATCAATCTGCACAAAATAATGCCAGAGAGTACCTTAGATGCTATGGGTACCAGGCTGATATCACGATAGTTTTCACATGACGTTCTTGCTCCCTTGCTGAAAGCTGGGATGACGGTCAAAGAACTCCATTCGGTTGGTATTGTTTTCGTTCCAAATCCTCTGTGGTAAGGTTGTCAGATTGTTCACCAAGATCTCGCCACCTTCTTTGAAGAACGCGGAGTGTAGACCAGGTGCCAGGTGCCTTGTCGTGCTTCAGGATTGATATCTCACACTGGATTTCGGTTGCCGATGGCAGGTTGGTGTCAGTGTTCCATTAGGGCCCGTTTGGTTCATCCAACGGTTGTGTTGAAGGAGGCTGGCTGAACTTTTCTGTTCAGCCCACCGCTCAAGACGACAAATCATGGAGTGAATTGTTGTTCCGTCTTTTTCCCATATCGATTCACTGACATCTGCCTTCTTTTGACCGGTCGATCAAACCAGCTGAAATAGGGTGTGAGTGCTGCTTAGAACGAAAGCCTTCCCCAGCCCCTGGACCTTCAAAATCTACCAACGCTCCCTATCATTCTTCAACCTCCCGATTATCCGGTGTTTGAGGGATCTGCGTCATCCTAGTCGTCAGCTTGTTCACCAAGATCTCGCCACCTTCTTTGAAGAACGCGGAGTGTAGACCAGGTGCCAGGTGCCTTGTCGTGCTTCAGGATTGATATCTCACACTGGATTTCGGTTGCCGATGGCAGGTTGGTGTCAGTGTTCCATTAGGGCCCGTTTGGTTCATCCAACGGTTGTGTTGAAGGAGGCTGGCTGAACTTTTCTGTTCAGCCCACCGCTCAAGACGACAAATCATGGAGTGAATTGTTGTTCCGTCTTTTTCCCATATCGATTCACTGACATCTGCCTTCTTTTGACCGGTCGATCAAACCAGCTGAAATAGGGTGTGAGTGCTGCTTAGAACGAAAGCCTTCCCCAGCCCCTGGACCTTCAAAATCTACCAACGCTCCCTATCATTCTTCAACCTCCCGATTATCCGGTGTTTGAGGGATCTGCGTGCGGCATCCTAGTCGCTAGCTGCTGGTACGGTCTTTCTGGCGTGCCCATCAAGGAATAGGGGGGTGGCGAGTGTGTCGTATGCGTCCCATTGGAATGTCCCCAGTTAACCTGCTACAACGTAAACTCTGCTGAGGAAGTCCTATTCACCGCCTTTTCGTGGCAGTGTTCTCATAAAACTGAAAGAGCA